ATTTTAATTATATTGAATTAATGTCGGAAAATGTAATATAGAATTACCAAAATTAATGAAATATATTGCATAAAATTAGAAATTTTTCAAATAGTATAATGATAACAAAATTTCAATTTTTAATCACTTTGGGTATATATAATTATTAGAAATAATTACAATTTTGTCTGATGTTCTATTAAACCACTATTAAACTACTATAATTATATTACATTAAAGCCAGGATATATACTATAGAATTAGCAAAATTAATAAAATATATAACATAAAATTAGAAATTTTTCAAATATCACAATGATAAAAAAGTTTAAATTTTGAATCATTCTTGGAATGAGTAAATATTATAAATAATTAGAATTTCTTCTAGTCCTTGTATTGAACTACTACTATAATTATATTGCAAAAATGATAGGCTGTTTGAAGTCTTCTAGTCAGAATTTTCTGAGAGTTGGAAAATTGGTTTTATAGTATAAGGTGTGTATTTCAATCTTACGTAAGACTGAAAATTGTAGAAAATTTGAAATTGCTTCCGACACTATAGCAACGAGTATCCAAGTTAATTGCAACATCCCTAGCCATCGTAGAGTTTGTAAATCGAGTAGTCGTAGGAGCTAGAAGCATCAGAATGCAGGTGAAGACTTTGGCAAGGTATAACCGAGCAAGTTTGATTGTACTAGGTGTTGCGTGATTTAATTGGAAAGTTTGCGAATGAAAGAGTGAAATTTGATCAAACTCTACCAACTCCGCCACTGAACTTCGAAATTTAATTCCCCTTTACTCGATCTTCAATCTCCTCGTCTCTTCCCTTCACCTCTTCGAAAGAAACTGAAGAATACAACCACTCTCGTTGCACCTCTACATCCCTAACAGCCTTCCCTCACATCCTTCGTCTCTCTTTAAACTGTTTTAAACAATAAGAAAGAAGGAAACCAATCATTTGACTGCCTTAAGTTCTTCATTGTGACGATTATGACGATTAATTCGTCACACGAATTTTCGTTGTTTTCATCGAATTATGTCTGTGATCATAGTAGGACATGTCTGTTAGAGTAATCTGTGCTAAATAGTTCATAGTTATTATTTTAAGATGACGGAAACTGGACTTGAGACACCGAAAATTGACGAAAGAACAAGAACACAATGACACAGACTCAAAACTCAACACAAACTTAATTGATTTAACTTAGGAAAAGGGCACCAGGATAACGAAATGAAAATACACAAAGACTCGTATCGTCTAGACCACCGTGAGGGACCAAATGCATCGTTTATTGGAGATAATTGTAGAATTTTTCGATTTCGATACCTTGCACACTGTTACATTGTATTAAATTTGATATATTAATTAATATCGATCTTAATTTTACCAAATTTTATGAAATGGTGATTGAAACTCATCTCTCAAGTGCAAAGGGTCAATAGATGGTTGGGGGAATTCAAAAACCTCGCTCTTTTATCAATTCATCGTCGAAATGGAAGATGACAGTACGTTCAGTAACACACACAGATGTGAAGGAACGTACACAGGTCAAAGTACGTCAGAATATTTTTAGAGACATACTTTGCGAAACTTTCACGCGCCATTTTATGGAGTTTCTCGTGTGGATATGCTCAACCACGTGTCACAGTCTTCAAACTGTACTTAGCAATAGAAATTTTCACCCATATGTCAAAGTCTTCAAACAGGACTCGATTAGGGAGAGATTAAAAATTTGATGGAAAAGATAGTTAATGAAAATGTTGATTTTTATTTATGTAATTATCAGTGAATTCTGACAAATGTTTTAAAATATTCCAATTTTTATTTGTTCTGGGTACGAATAGTTATTGGGGATAATTAGGCTCCTTTTTGATCGCTATACAATTACAGTTCATCTTACCTTGCAATTGTATTAAACTATTATTTTAATTATATTGAATTAATGTCGGAAAATGTAATATAGAATTACCAAAATTAATGAAATATATTGCATAAAATTAGAAATTTTTCAAATAGTATAATGATAACAAAATTTCAATTTTTAATCACTTTGGGTATATATAATTATTAGAAATAATTACAATTTTGTCTGATGTTCTATTAAACCACTATTAAACTACTATAATTATATTACATTAAAGCCAGGATATATACTATAGAATTAGCAAAATTAATAAAATATATAACATAAAATTAGAAATTTTTCAAATATCACAATGATAAAAAAGTTTAAATTTTGAATCATTCTTGGAATGAGTAAATATTATAAATAATTAGAATTTCTTCTAGTCCTTGTATTGAACTACTACTATAATTATATTGCATTAAAGCCAGGAAACATAATATAGAATTAGCAAAATTAATGAAATATATTACATAAAAATTGGAAATTTGTCAAATAGCACAAAGATAAGAAAGTTTCAATTTTTAATCATTCTGGGAATGAATAATTATTAGAAATAATTAGAATTTTTCTGACGTATTAAACTACTAATATAATTATATTGCATTAAAATTAGGGAATATAATACAAAATTAGAAAAATTAATAAAATATATTACATAAAATTAGAAATTTTTCAAACAGCACAATGATAACAAAATTTCAAGTTTTAATCATTCTGGGTATGAATAATTATTAGAAATAATCACTGCTGCTATCATTATATTACATTAAAGTCGTGAAATATATAAATAAAATTAATAGTATAAATTTATCAACATCAGTCTCTCCATTTTCATATGTTACATCATATTACATTAACCTAAAATTTCCAAATTTGCCGTTACACAATCTTCAGTAATAAACAAAAACAACCAACGATTATTAGCAAGAAATAAAACTGTGAGAATAAATTTCAAAATTCTCGGAAGCCCAGCACAATTCGAAAATTAGCTTTCAACCCAGGCCATTATCATCCAGCAGGACAGCAAAGCCCAGCCAAAATTCACGATCCAAGGACAAACCAACAAACTGTCCTACCCAACGCAGCATTGTTTATCACCCTCGAACGAATTACTCGCCATTCTCACTCAACCAGCCAACCGACCACCCCCTCCCCAGCCAGCAGTTACAATTTTCATCAATCTACCCAAACCCCGGAGCCTCTCCTCCACGCAAAAACCCCAAAACCATATCCACGGCCGAGCAACACCCATTGCCAAGTCAAACAGCGTTTCGCTGGCAATCCCGAACAGGCCTAATCGTCGCGAAACATCCATTTCTCGTCGGATTGTGCGGGCAGAAATTCGTCAGGGGGTTCGATAATTGGCAAATAATGGCGGCTGATGCGGGCAGAGCGTGGCGCTGGAAACGAATCGGGATTAATAATTTCGCCGGTTCCGCGCGCCATCTTCGGCCAGGAACTCCGCGACGGACCATGGAGAGAGCCCCGTCCGTGGATTTCACGCGCCGCACACCGCGTTCAACGAGCTCTAATGAGTGACGTCAGCGTGTCGCCAGGTCAATCTACGGTATTTTAAGATAAACTGGACACGGTCCAGTCGTTGTTCAGCTTCTTACGAGTCGACAGCTCCCCGTTTTCGTGAAAGGAGGGGCCCCGTTCGATCAGGGGCTAACCTGGTAGAGCAGACTCTCTCTGAGCAGCCTCTGACTCGTTCGATGACACCAGCCGTGACATTCATAGGATCAATTAGACGCGGCCGTCTCGACGAGCTGCTGCTTCGCCGAAATGGACGTGATTCGGGGCTATGTGAGTGTCTACGAGAGATTCAGGCTTCAGGCTGACTGTGAGTCAACCGGTATGGCTGATTGGGTCAGACTGCTCTCTGTTTGCAGCATTCTTAGGTGGTTCTAGGGGATGTTGAAAGGTGTTGTGATTGACCGAGTGAAGGTTTATCTGTGCTGGTTAGGGGTATTGTGTGAAATGATCAGTGGGTGTCTTGGGATGATGATGGTGATTGGTGATTTTACTTCGATTTTTATCGGTTTATAGTAATAAATATAGAAAGTAGTGATTTTATGTAGGATTCTGGTGTCAAGATGTTAGTTTTTCTATGTATTAGTACGTTTATGGTTGGCCTAAAATTTCTTGCGAATTTTATATTTTAATCTTAATCCTCGTGTTGACACTGTTAGGTGTGCTTTTTGCGAAACAACATGATTCAAAATGAAAATAATGTTTTGGAAATAATTTTTAATGCTTCTGTGTCGTGTGTTTTGTAATATAGTTTTCACTATGACTTGGAGAAATGTAAATTTTATATTTCTTTATTTTGAAAAAAATTGTTTACTATGAATGTGTAGAGTAGAATCTAGTTTATTTGAAATAATAAATATTAACAGCCCCATTTTCTGCTCCCATTACTTCAAATATTAATATTGTAAATACCAATAGTATCTATAATAAAATTCTTAACAATATATCATTGGTAATATTTTAATAATTGTTTTCTCAACATAACTAGAAATAATATATACTTTATTTTGTTTGAAAATATCAGAAACAAAAATATTGGAATATTATAATACCATCATTTTGTTTGGGGAACTACTGTAATTAATTTATTATATAATAATAAATACACAAAGATATATTATTATATTACATTACAATAGCTTGTAATAATATATTATTTACTATAATGCACTATTATAGTTACAACAACACACTATTTATTATAATACAATAATATATTTAATATATATTAATAATTTTCCAATATTATATTACA